CGTTTCTCAAAGCACCTGTACCGGCTCACGCGTATTCTCTCGCAGCGCATAATCCGAACGTAATCGCGTTACGCGTGCAACTACACGTACAACCATCGACGTGTTCTTGGTTTACAGTTACTCGAATGGCGCCGTGATTGCGCGTCTCGCTAATTTTCGCTAATGTGCTTTATCATCAAACGCGAGCAGGATTTTCGCGCGTATATTTTCACTGCTCCGTTTCGTGATTCATGTATTCGCGTACGCATGACGCCGCTCCTGTTAAAACGAATTACTGTCACGGCTCATACAATGTACAAGTATATTTGGGATATAATTGTGTTATAAGTTGGTGAAAAATTATAAACAACAATGCTTGGTGTATTTGTGCTCAAAACGCGTTATTCGTGTACACGTTTTCAATTGTGTGTGAGTAAAGTGGTACTATTCGAGGAAAGAAATTCCTTTCAAATAGTACTATAAGAATCTCATTAAATTAAATTAAAAAATGAATCAAATAAAATTATCATTTATCAATCTAGCAAGCCAGCTATTTTTACAACTTTCTATGATAACATAAGCGAGGCAGGTATAGACTCCCATATCTGCTTAAGTTTACGATGTTTTATTGAGTGATATATTTTTTAATCACAAGTCATACTTTTACACAGCAAAGGTTTTTTTGAATCTGAAGAGTATGAATTGTAAACGAAAATATCCAACATCTGTTTATTTTTACCCATATATAATCGAGAGAGTGTTTTTTTTTCTGACAAGCTTCAGCTGTACAGCACAAAACAAAATTTTTCTTAGCCAATAATAGCTTTTCTTTTAGTCTAAATAAAACTCTGTACCTGAAAAATTAAAAATCCGTAATACGTAGTCCTTGTGCGTTCATGCAACCCCTTCTGTAAACTACATGCATACTTAAACCAGAAAAAACCTCCCTCACCTATTTTCGGATTGCACATCTATTTTCCAACGAACTACGAAGAGCGCCGTAAACTCATGCAGATTTATTTAAAGCCTCGTCAGCGCGGTATGATATGAAACACCACCAGCGAGCCCGTGCCCACGCCCACTCTTCCCGTATAATATCCGTCTCTTCAATATGCGAATATTTGTCAGTAGGTATACCCCCATAGATTGGCCCCATTCACGCGTCCGCGAGCTCACCACGCTCCCCAAAAGCACATTCCGCGACGCATAGTAGGTAAATCATCTTTATCGCCTCGACGTTCCATTCCTGCGGCAGCCTCGGGCGCCTCTTTCTCTTCCTTATTCGTCCGCAGTGGCGCACGATGGTAGAGCCGGTTGGTCCTCGTTTTTTCTTTCGCTTTCGACTCGCAGTAACTGCATATCCCTTTGCTGAATCCACTTGCGTTTTGCGCTAAAGCCTGATGGCTATGTATCTGAATCCTTGGACCCCATCTCACCCACCACTGAGTGCGCTTCAGTTTTTTTTTTTTTTTTTTTTTTCTTCCGTCTCAAGATCCTTTTCTTCGGAGTTTGCTAAGACACTTTTGAAATCTTGAGTAGGAAAATGCTCAACCATTTCTTTCAACTCGGATCAAGCTTTACAAGCTCACTCAAACGATATTACAATATTATAAAATTTCAGGGAAAAATGACAAAGAAGAAGAGTCGGGCCACTCCGATGAATAAGTAAGTGTATTTCAAGCGTGACTTGAAATCTGATACTCCCGTAATTTCATAAAACGTTGAAGATCGTAACAAGACTCCGTGCCTTTTTTTTACGCAGATGCACTGCAACAAAGTAACCACAGGATATCTGATTTCAAATCACATAAGGGAAAGAAGGTTGTAAGCAATATCCCTATTTTGCTAGTGGTGCACGGTATATATACCTCAAAGGGTTATGTAGAGCTTTTTGAGAAAGTTTTAAATAACCACACAAATATTTTTAAAGTATTTGTTGTATGTAACAAAACCTCAAATAATGGAGCCTAACTATCAAGTAAATGGGAGAAGAATTTTTTAATAGAACTTATAATATTATACTGCTCTGTTACTATTTTTCAGCTCTCAAAGTAGTACAGTCCACGTTTGGTCAGACATTACACGCAAGTGGAACTAAGGTGGTTCCTGGTGATTCGCCATGTTGGAAAAATTGAATGACTTATTCATCACGATCCCACTAGCACGTCTTCATTTTTTTAGATTTTTCAACCGTGTAGTTTATGATATGTAGCAGTTCGTAGACAGAAATATTAACATATATATAGGAGAAACGGGAAACGTGCTAAGAAGCGAACAAATTCCGAAACATCTTCGAAACGTGATTTATGACATTCATTAAAAATATATCCACGTATAGAGTGAGAAAAGTAGGACATTATAAAAAAAGATAAAATTAAATTCAACTATACACAAAAATATGTACAAAAACGCAAACAAGCCTCTAGACGCTCTATACTACTTTTCACAGGCGTCTTTAACCCTCTGCACATCGCAAACAGACATTTCACCAAATTGCTTCTCATTTTTTTTTCTCTTACACGTAAATATTTGTGACACGCGTACAATTATAATATGAATCGACATGTAATATTTTTCTTGATTTAATTGGTAATATTTAATTTCGATCTTTTAATTACTAGCAAGTTAAAAATTACTCAAGTTTCTCATGATAGTTGTAGCCTTTTCTTATCATAGGACCTATCTTGAATTTAAATAAGTAAAGCAGATATTATAAGTAGTGTAGACTATATTTGATCAGACATCACTTGCGAGTCAAATCACAAGTTAAACGAGTACCGGATCTACAGTAGTAAAGTCCTCGTTTGGTCAGCCATAGTGTGTACGTAGATGTGAATCAAATGTTGAGTTCGTCGTATTTAATTCAAATAGTGTAGCTTGACGTTGGTGAGACATCACGTCTATGTAAAATTATTGCAATTAACAAATATGAAAGGTAACCCAAGTAGTACAATCACGTTTGGTCAGACATCACGACCGAGTAGAATCGTCGATCAAATATCGTTTGCATTCGGTTGTCCCGTCGCATCGAAATGATGCAGAAAAATATTCCCATGAAAGCTTCTAATCCAATCATCTACGCGATACGACGCAAAGCCACTTTTCACGCGTACACACAGCCGAGGGCAATCAGCGAAAAATAACGAGCTCGAGCGTGATGCGGTGAAGTTCAGCCTTCCTCTCACGTTTTTCAAAACAAGAATAAACCCTCCTCAGCGTTAAAAAAATCGAGCCCGAGATCAGAGAGAGAGAGAGAGACAGAGAGAGCACAAAACGGTAGTCGCGTCGTCGACTGGCTGTACTACATCAACTCCAGCGGAAAATTGCAGCCACGCGCGAAAACTGCGCACTGCAGCTCTTTCTTTCTCTCCTGCACACACCCATCCCCTTGCGAAAGGAAAAATGAGAGAGAGTCTGTTTGTTCCGGTTCGCCGGAAACAATCGGGCTACATGGGAGACAGGTATATCGTCGGCCTGGTCGTTTATACACTACTACTACAACTGCTCGATCCGCGTCGTGCAAAGAGAGGACGGGGGAGAACAGGAAGCGAGCTTTTTCGTCATTTCCGCTCACGCTTGATGCGTACGAGCCGACCACTGCCCTGCGGGGAAATTTTCGTGGTACCTTACATTCCTTCTTTTTCTTCCTCCGACCGTAAGAGTATGAATTCGTATGTTCGCGTGGGTGTAAGTGACGCAAGATTTATACGCACTGGGCGAATTATACGCGCTCGCGAGTCAGCTTGCTTTTTCTTCATAATACGAGCCATAGGGGGGTAGGGAAAGGGGAACCCCTTCGGTTGCGGAGAAAGTTTATGCGGCGCTGATTTTCGTGTTGCGCGTTTTTTGGCTACTGCGCGCCGCTGAGCTTAAACAGGGAGGGGGGGGGGGAATTAATTGCCCTTGTTAAAGACGCGGGAGGCGAAGCTGGGGCGAGACATGCCGACTTTTTCCCTCGTCCTCCCCAACCCCTTTGTTTTGCTTGCCAACCATTTTTAACTGCAATTACGAGCTGAAATATACGTAATGCGCGTGGTACGAGCTGTCTTTTTTCATACCAGGATTACTTCTCTCGTTTTGTTTATGAAAATTTTTATTTTTCAGTTTTCAAGTCGTTAATTGTACTGACTGATGTGGAAACTGTTAATGTAAAAAAAAAATAATAATGATAATAATTTTGCCCCACGATTTTTACCCAATAACTTAAAATTCAACTTGTAAATTATTAACATAATATGCACGACAGTTATTGTCATCCAACAAAAAATGCTCAATCCTAGCCTACTTACTCCATAAACTGTTGATGAACTCTAATTGAAATTAACCAAACGATTGGACCCAAAATCCACAGAGATAAAATTCAAAATAATTCTCTAACCCCATCCCTCCTCCAACGAGCCCACCAAACAAATGGCCCTCTCTGCCAAAACAAACTCACCGTCTGCAGTTCATCCAAAAATTGCATCTAAAAAAATCCCTCCCTCCCTCTTGACCCTCTTGAGCTCTTGGCAAACAGGACAGCTCCTACGAGCTAAAGAACAGGATCACACCAAATACCGCAACGCGACGCCCGAACGCGCAACAAATAGCCCAGCTTAATCTGCCCTACACCCCTAACTACTCTCTCTCTCTCTCTCACCTTGAAAAAACCAAACATGGACTATCGACACCAAGCAGAAAAGAGCACCCGAAGGCGCAGCCTCTCCGCACATAAACAGCCTCCGTGTACAGGACGAAAATAAAGGTGGGATTCCCCGGCGCAACATTGCGCGCGCCTCGGAGCAGAGTCAGGGGCACACAGGAGCCGAGCAGCTTGCTTGAGCCAGAGTCGCGCGCGAGAGCTCGTGCCGGCTGGACACGGGCGTTGATTGTTGCGTTTTCGAGCTATCGGGGGCAATATGCCGAGAGATACGAGACCGGTATAGTGCGCTCAAAGTGAGGTGGTGGTATATATACATACATATTTTTTTTTTTTTTTTTTCATCGAGAACACGGAGGGGGATTAAAGTGCTCCAAAAACCATGCAGCCTGACAGGATAATCGTGGGGTGGTGCTTCTGGTGGCTGGTTTGCACCGCATCGGTGACGCTCGGGGCTCTGCGGGACAAGGAGCTCGGCGATGGCAGGCGTGAGTCTCTTCTGGCACTTGTTTATTTTCCTCCTCTTTTTCAGTTTTTCCCAGAGTTTTCCGCTCGAGTGTTTCGTTGGGACGGGAGTCTCGTCCCGCCTTTTTCCCTTCTCTGCTTCTTCTTTTTCTCTACCTCCACTCACTTAACTCCGCTTTATGCGAGCTTTTAGCCGCTCGTTAGGAAACAGCCGTGCTTTTAAGGCTCTCCTTTCGAGGTGCTCAGTCTATCCCGACGCCTCTGTAAGAACCGTGCTGTGTGCGCGCACGCGAGAGAAAGATTTCGCGAATCGATGGAGCTGGAATGTCTTCCGGAATTTTTTTTTTTTTTTTTTTCTTTCCTTTTCAGTACCCAAGTTTTAATGAGTGAAGGGTTGTCCTCTCCGAGTCCTGCACTTTGATCCTTCGTTCACCGAGCTGAGGAATTTGCAGAGCTTTTACGGAAGGAGCTCTGATTCGAGATTGCTGAAACAATATTTGTTGAAGTGATTACCGAGGGGTCGAGGAGAGCCTCTTGAAGGGCCGTTCGTTGGAATTTTATTACTTTTGAGTGCTCGGTTTTCGTCAAACGCTCGATTCAATGGGAATACGGACGAATTCACATCGTTTTTGCATTTTTTTATTTTATACGCCCGTGACACTGTTGAAAATTAAAATGTTTTTTTTTTTTCAACCGTGCGTTTTTGTTTGATCGTGGAATATAAAATATTCAATTGGTAGATTGAAAAACTCAACCCTTTCAACATAAAAAATTCGTTCTCAATTACTGCGGTGCGATATAAACCGAGTGGAGAATAATCATAAAAAATGAGTCGTTTCTAGGATACAGCGGAGAATTGTAAACAAAAGTAAAAGTTTTTACAAACAAATTTTTTTTAACGCATTGCCTTTTTTTTCTTCTCGTGACATCTATCATTATTTATCGTTCCTATGGTCGCTGATTCATGCTTGGAATTAATTTACATCGTCTTGCCGAATCTTAATCCTAGGACTGCAAAAACTGCATTCGTAAATCAAAATAAATCCTCCGTCACTCATGCGCAATGTCACCATAGTAGTTGATCATTTTTGCCATTTTATTGAACGACTGAAATGAATAATACGTTCGATATATCAAATCTGACAGAAACAAGATCTCGAAGCGTTCGATCATTCAAGCGCATACCTCTCGGTGAGTGGGCCCGAATGCTCCGTTTGAACTAAAAGTGTCCTGTCGGATTGGTCCAACTACCATCGTAGAATGCTCTTTCTGCTGGATCTTTTTAACGAGTAATGCTGTTGAAACGCAAATCGCGCTCTAACGAAGAACGAGGGAAATGTCCGAGGAAAAATTTCAGTGGGACCTTATTGAGCTTAATTAAAGTTTTCACGAGAAAGAGCTTTTACTTTTTTTTTTTTTTTTCTTTCAACTAATACTAGTGAGAATTTGAAAAGCCATCTCTCCATTTATAGATGCGGATTTTTTAATGAAATTTTGAATAATTGGACGTGAAAACACGAAATCAAATCAATTCCGTGAATGTGCGTACCCCGCCTCACTTCCTCGAATGAATAATTATAACTCATCGATGCACAAATCATTAATCCCCGAGTGCACGATAAAGACGTCTGGTGTAAATGTAGGCAAAGAGACATACACCGATAAAATGAAGAGTGTAGGCAAGCACAGCGTGAAAAAAAACAGTCCGAAGCGTATGACAAGCGCGTCCGAGTAAGAGGAGCGGATGCACGTGCTATCCGGAAACCAATTAAAATCTCAGTCCAGTGCTCGCAAAGGCCTATCACTATTCTCGCGGCCATTTCGACATTGTTCCATACAGCTGCGTTGCCCGGTCGGCAGAATAATTTAACTAGCTGCTATTGGAGGCCAGAGATCGCGAATTATCGCGGCCAGGGTTAGCCCACTTCCGTCTACGAATATGCGGGTGTGTGTACGTGGACGGGAAAGTTCGTCGCGGCTGCTTCTAGCAACTACTCTTCTTTGTCGTCTCTCTGATGGAGTGGCGTGAACGACAGCCCCCGACAGTTTGCCAATCGAAAGTTTGCTTTTCGCCTCTGCATCCCCCCCCCCTTCCGAGGTTTCGTTGTAATTAAATTGTTGGTTATCGAGATCTGGGGCTGTGGGTTTGTTTTTTATCTTTATTTACGATTCGAGTACCATAGGGCTCATAACATTTTGCTTGTAAATTTTATTGCATCGGAAGTAATTTGAAAACTTGCCTGTTGCTCGTGCACAAACACGCAGTGCGCTGAAATGCGCGAATCTCTCGATGCTTTATTGAAACTGAAAATTTTTAACAGTCATCCGGCTCTCATATCTGAAAATTAAAATATTCGTATGAATCAACAAAATTCGTGAAAAATTGTGTTGATATTAAAAAAAAAAAAAAAAAACAAAAACAACAACAATTTTCAATACGCTTTTGAAAATTGCTTCGTCGATTGCTTCGGCAACAAGAGAAAAAAATATTACACACACCAACCCCGTGGAAGATAAAACGGGCGATCAACAATAGCGCTCACTTTTCATTATTATGTCCATCAAATTTCCCTCTCCTGCCAGCCACGGTCGGTCTCCACTGAACAAGCCTACAAAAATCGAGAATAAACGTGGCTCGCATATATATCCTCGATCTCCTCCATCGTTTAGCCCGTATCCAAATCTCCGTCAATACTGTTCTGAAAAAATCAAGTGCGGTATAGCTCGTGTAACGAGGTCTCTCTGTTTCCCGAGCGGTCAACTCTAGCCCGACGACTATGCTGCAATTAATGGTTTCCGAACGAGTACCGGTTCGGTTTCCTCGGACTCTCAAAGTTTCTGCCCCTCTACACTGTACACGCTCGAGAGAAACAGGAAAGCGAAAGAGAGAAAAGTTTTTCTTCACGCAAGAGTGGAACATAGAAAGTTAGGGGGGGGAGGGAGGAGGGTGCGCACTAAATCCCTCCTTTGCCAGTCGAAAAGGAGTGCCGAAAAACTTTCGTTCGCTGCGAGTAGTAAATCCGAAAAAGTGCGCATGTAACCAAGTACCTTCTAGGCGACGGTGCAGCTGGTACACACACGTATGGTAGCAAGAATCCAGCGAGAAAAATAAGTCGGTCGAGGGCAGACGAGAAAGAGAATACGACAGTAAGGTTGATTCGTCATTAGCTGGACAGTGTAACAGCTCGAGACGCTTGTTTATAGAGCACACCATCTTCCCTCGAGTTAAAGACAAACGCGGAAAACGAGTGCAAATGTCACAAGGGACGAGAGACGGGCACAGCTTAAACGGGCGCGCGTTAATTATCTCGTGGCCATAAGGGAAGTAAGTACAACTTGCTGGAGGGCCACTAAACGCACACAGTGGCGACGGCGCACTCGCTCTCTCGATTGCTTTGGTGCTCCGTGGGGCTATCTACACTAGCACTGTCGCTTGTCGCTTCCTGCCACATAAGCGCGTAAACACGTATGCTCGCTGACTCTCTGGTTGTTCCCCTCCGGACTCGAGGCTGCTTCCCTGGTATGCGTGCCAATGTACGGATACCTCGAGTTCGCGGTTTGGGCACAGTAGAGTGTGTATGTGACGACGTTCGGCGCTCACACTTGCCGAGTAAACAGCAGCTTCGTGGCAAGTTTCTGAGCAGAGACGCGTGATTCCTGACAATCAAGGAATTGAGGACGGGAGGCGTTTTAGCCGGGAACCGGGGGTGGCCCCGCCTTGGTTAATGCGAAATACCACTCTTGGCATTGTGCGCCGAATAAGTTTTCCGAGAGGCTGTTGCCGGTGAAACGGAGGCTTTTGTCTCTCGAGCTCTTTTCGCGATTTTGCGATGAGCGCGCATTGTTGCTGCTTGGTTCTTTTTTTTTTTTTTTTTTAATCGCACGTGCGCTGGGATTCCAAGGGGCGAGGAAAAACGGGCGAAAGAAAAAGAACAAGAGACGATTTTTCATCGCTAGGGAACTTGGGTGGCCTTTTCTCGAGTTTAGCGGATGACGCGGTGGTGGGGGTCTTTGCATTTGCAACGTCACAGCCATCCATCGCGCCGGAGCTGTGGATGAGAGCCCCCCGGCGCTGAAACTCTCGAGCTCGCGTGCACGAAAGAAAAGTTTAAGTACAAGTGGAAGGGATCAGCGCCGCCGTGGGCAGACAGACAGAGTCTCCGGGCTGCTTTGATCGCGGAGTGCGATTGTACTATGATCGATGATCGCAGCTGGAGTGGGAGAGGTGAGCCAGAGGTGAGGGGAGAAGAAGGGGAAGAAGATACTTTGACATCGGGTGCGCTCCTCCTCTTTTTCTTTATTCTCCTTGTGGAGGATGCGCTGCTTAGGAGCCCGAGGCACTTGGTGGGAAGCAGATAGTCTGGCAAAGTTTGCGCTCCTCGGGGGGTAAATATCAATTTTCGCGGTAAATAAGCGCACACGATGTATCGGAGAGGTTTGATCAAAGCTCGTTGTGTCGTGTGCATAACAGCCAATTTTTCTGTTAATTATTTAGCTGACACATCAACGGTAAGCGTGAGTTTCTATGACTGCGTATAGTATCAAAATTAGGCAAGTAGAACTAGGCGAGTTTGGTCAGACGGTTTGAAGCATTTGTACTTCGATGTATTGTCGATTGACATGGGATCAATCACATTTCAATATCGTTTAGATATTGATTTATATCATGTTACCAACATAGAAATTAGTGCGAGTAGATGCATGCGAGTTTGGTCAGACAATTCTACTCATGTTTCCAACTCATGCAAGTAGATACATACCAATTCAATCAGATATTATGTATTATACTAAGCTACATACACTGGCTGATGATGAAAAACTTTCACATTTTTTTGGCCTTTTTTTACTTTGGCGACTGTTATTCGCGCTATTATTGTTTCAATGAATTATGGTACACAATCAGCAAAGTGTATTCAGTATTATGAAGTCCCGAATCTAGTACTAAATGAATGAAATACTACCTTGCTTTTAATAACAAAAATTATTATTATCATTATTGTTGTTATTATTATTTACATTTAGC